CAGATATGCCGTTATCTTCTTCAATTGCTAGCCTGACAATCAAGTCTTCGAGCCCCATTTCTTTGCACTTATGCTTCAAGTAATTCTTGAAATCTTTCCAAGTAGGCGGCACTTTTTCAATGATTGAAGCTACTTAAAAAGATTCCCTCAAAGCCATCTTTTCAGTATGTATTTCATGTAGGATCAGCTGGAGCTCCTGCACTTGGCTCGTAATAGTCTTGGAGTCCACCATTTTTGTTGTAAAACTTAGACGTAACCACTCGCAAGCGCACGAATCTTTGCAAATAGGGCTTCCTTGTAAGGGTGTTGTACCCAAGGGACTTGTATTAATGAAGTTGTTAACAGATTTCTCAAATTCTAAATTAACTTGAAAATAGGATAACCAAAATTTGATGATTTATTCTGATGAACTAGGTAGAAAAATAAAAGCGATAATTAAACGAGATGTAGAAAATAAGAGAGAAGGAACTAGAGACATGATTTCACCACTAACGTCGCACCACCAGTCAATTGCATCAATTTATTGGAGATATATATAAAACATGCATAAGGAATTAATCATGGCTACAAGCACATATTAATTCAGCTAGAAGATAATATAAATTAAAGCTAAGCATGGATTATCTTTGATTAGCATAAACCATCTACTTAACTACTTTACTCTAGGGTGTAGTATGGTCTATCTTCTCTCGGCTTAATCCATCAAATCTCTAATATTATATTCAGTGAAAAACCATTGCATAACCATCTCATTCACAACTACAAGAAGTGAATGAGTTGTGTTCAATCACAAGATTCAAATATCTAAGACAAGATAGAAAAATGCTTTGTAATTGAATTAAAACTTTAAAACCGATTTTTATTGAAAAGTCAAGTAAAAATCCTATAGGTTACACAATCATGCATAAATAATAATTGTCCTCCAATAAATAAATACAATCAAACCAGTGGTGCTAAGCTAGGGCTACATTACAGCCCTAGCAAAGCTTTTAGCCGAGCATGACTGGAATAGACTTCTTCATGGTTGAGGAAGACATCTTCACCACCGTGGATTGATCCCTTTTTTTTTCTAAATGCTTCTCCTCTAATCTCAGCCTCAAGCTCCTCTGTATGATGATCACAATGATAAAAATAACTCCCTTTAAATAAGAAAAGATCAGGCCCAAAGTTCCCTTTTTTGTATAGAAGACATATATGGAAAATTCTACCAAATAGGGACTCCAAAATTTGTACAGACTTCCAGCCTAGTTTTGATAAGGTAAACAGCTGTTTTATGAAATCCTCGTGAAATACAAAATTGTAGATCTTCGAATTTCCTTTTAACCCTCAAGAGAATTGAGTTGTTTTAACACTCGAGGAGAGAGATACTGACAGATTACCAAAACAGGTTCAAGTTACCAATTTTGGAGAAAGTTTCCTAGTTCATTTTCTTCTTGTTTCCCTTCTCATCAACTTGTGACTTCTCTTGGACTCTTTTCTAAGTCTAATTAGACTAGGATCTTCATCGTTGCTCGGTCCAATGGATGTGATCTTCTACCCTCTTGGATATCATCTTTTAAAGCCCGATTTTACTGATCTTGACTGATTTTTTCATTAAAGCCCTACAATAAATATAAAAAAAAAATGTAAAATCACAAATAAAACTATTACTAAGAGAATAAAACATGCAAGTTAAGGGGCTAAAATGTATAACATTCAGCGCCTAACAATTTTGAAGTCCAGAAATCGTCCGACCACGAATTTCTTCAGACCAGCGTCCTCAGTTTTATATTTCTTATCTAGTGACTCCCATAGCTCTTTAGCAGTACTGATCAGACTGTACACATTATATAACATGTTGTCTAATTGATTGATGATGTAGTTCTTGCATAGGAAATCTCCTTGCTTGTAAGGTAGAACATTATTTTCTGTTGCCACCTTTTGAACTCTGCCCCATTAAACTTTTCGGGCTTCTCCCCATGACTGACGGGAATATTAGGCATAGTTGTACTCATACTTGCCATTCGTCTGTTATATATGAAATATACAGACCACAATTCAATATAATATAACAACAGTATTTAAATAATAATACTATAGTAAAACGAAATTTGTCTTAAGATTGTAGTCCAAAATGGTGTATAAGTACCATATTTTATAGTATTACTATTTAAATATTATGAAAAAATATTATATATATATATATATATATATATATATATATATAATTCTCTAATGATGTATATTATACTAAATAAAATATACTTATATATTAGTATAATAAAACCGAACTTTAAAAAAAAAAAAAAAAAAAAAAAAAAAAAAAAAAAAAAAAAACCCCTTGTTAATAGGCTGAGTCTAGAATTGGATTCTATTTCCTTAAGACAGATTCGCTCTGCTATGTTGCTGACGGGCTCTGTAGCGTCAGTCTCCCAAGATACAACGACCTTTCTTTCTTCGGTAGCAACGCTGGAAACTGGAGAAATGGGCGAACCGGCTTGGTGTAGTACTCTCTCTCTGAACCAGACTCAAACTCACACATTAACACTATGTGTATGCAAAGAAGTGAGAAAAAGAAAGGAGAAGATGAGAACTCAGAAACAGAAAGAAGAATTATGAGTTGGTGTGATTTGCAAATGACCCCCAATGGGGTATTTATAGGCAACGTGGTGTCCCTTCGTTAACACACGTAGCCACTTCCAATGGGTTGCAATGGTTGGTTGGTGTCTCTTCGTCAACATACACAACCACTCCCAATGGGTTACAATGGTTGGTTTGACTAAAACTCACACCTATTCAGATTATAGGCATCTCATCATTTTAACCAACCGCACATGTTAAGCACTGCAGACTATTTTGTATGTAACGTAATACCACCATATCATTGTTGACATTCACGTTACTGCAACTTTTTAACTTACGTTGCAGACAATGTTCATTCACATATTCCAACAGTTGGAGATGGCAGTTCTAGCAACAATTGGGGATGCTTCCAAGTGGAACGTTTGGATTGTGCCACGTGTCCTATGTCTTCCCCAGCTTTCTCATAGTGTTGACATGTGTCAAATCATATTCTCCCATGATCTACAATAAATAATGGTTTTGGTGGTTGAGGCATGTTTGCAAGCCTTTATTCACATTCTGGAACTGCCAAGTGGAAAGGACAGTTTAGGCAGCAGTTGGAAACTTCAAACTAAAAGGTTTAGATCATGCCACGTTTCCCATGTTTTCTTCAGCTTCCTTTGGTAAATGCTCCATGTTCTCAGCCCACTTGCTAATTTTCAGTAACTTCCTAGTAGTTGGAGATGGCAATTCCATCAGTAGTTAGAAACTTCCATCTGGCACGTATGTGCAATGCCTGGTGTCCCATGATTTAACAATTCTTCTTCGTGTGTATGAATCCTCTCTCCTTTGAAATTATATATATATATATATACACCACGTTATATTCACGTTCTCCATTAATTTAACTAACCACCAAAGCTTCAATTTAGGTAGTTTGCTATAATCTAACAAACTTCTAAAATTTCTCAATGAATCTGGACACAAGTCCACTTTTGGCATTCCTTACATGCCATAACCATTGCATGATATATGGAACATTTCCTATAAAGTAGGAGATATTGTAGGAGTGGGGAGTTATAATCCTTAGTGACTAGATCAAAGATAAATATGCATGATCTGATGCTTGCCATGATTCTAATGGTGGGCTTGTGTCTCACCGAATCCTTTTTGCCTTTGATTCAATCTTTAGTGCCACTAAACAGCTCCATGCTTTAGACCTAGGTGGCTAGGTGGAACTGCCTACAAGGTAGCATTCATTTCCAATTGTTGGAATAGTAATCTGGTGTGGCAAGTTCCCATATGTCCAGATTTTAGGTATTAACAATAGGTAGTTGCGTTCCCTCGGGAGGAATAGATTTCACTTTGAACTTGTTTATGTCTGTTACGAAAAATATAGCAAACCAAGGACACAACCAAGAATCACGACAGAAAGTAAACACGCCCACACACAAAGAATACAAAGATTTACATAGTTCGGCGTAAGCCTACATCCATGGTGAAAGATTTCACTATGCGAAAATCAAGATATTACAAGTTTCAGCCCCCAAAACCTAGCTCTTGCTCCCACTCCCACTCCCACTTCCTTCTCTGTGATTTTCAGTGCTCTCTCTAATCCCACTCTAAATCCTAAACGGCCTTATATACCGGGCTACAAGATAGTACTAAATAGGGTCCACAACCCGCAAGTGGAAAACGGGCCAAAAGGCTTGGGCCCACACAACGCTCGATCATTGGGTTGAAACCGGGTCACAACGCCACCCAAAACCAAATTCGGGCCACAACATCACATTTTCTTTGTAACCAAAAGGAGTGTAATCTAATGGCTACTTTAGGCATTGCTTCCCTTCCATGTCAACATTAAGGACCAAAGGAGTTTGTATTTAGGTTATGAGCATTCTTAAGAGTTGAGAAGGCAAATTGCCGAGTTAGTTTGACGAGTTCTATCTTAGGTGATTGGTAGCTTGAATTAACAGTGGAGTTATAAGTATTAAAACTGATTTTGCTCCAACAACACTTAAGTGGATTTCATACAATGTTCTTAAATATTATGGTTCCCATGTTGTAAAACAAGAATTATTGTTTGATGAAGATGCCTTTTATTTATTGTGGCAATGTTTGCGAAAGTCATAAAAGTCATACCTCGGGTTTGAGTCCCGGTGTTTCTTCATTTCCATGTACTAAACTTGTTAACCACTAATCTATAACCTTCTTCTCAGTTCTCCCATGCTACTTAAGAAAAAATATGAAGAAAGAAGATGAGAGGAAAAAAAAAAAAAAAATGGTTGCCCTTCTGTTGGCTGGATCTGTTGAAATTACTTAGTAGTTCATATTAACTTATTTTCCACTCAATATATTGTTTTCATAACAAGTCTTGGCACATTATGAATGCCTCCTCTATTTGATCATTGCGTTTGTTTTTTTGATTCTTTTAATCTATTTGTTCTCATGAATGCTAGGCTTTCCTCTGAAGTCAGTGGACCAATCTCTGGGAAGTGTGGTCCCCATGATTCCACGAACATATCCTTCAGTCCCGGTCGAGTGGGGAGGCTGCAATGCTCCACCTCTCAGAACACTTTTACTGTTCAAGTTCAAGCAGGGTACATGTATCATCTTTGTCCCTCAATGGTATTAATATAGATATAGAATTCCTATGATCAGTCTACTGCTTCTTGTGTCACTGAGGTGGTGGCAGAACAAATCCTTGAACCTTTTCTTGACTGGTATTATATGGTTATATCTTGTCAATATAGTTTGCTAATAATTCTCCAAATTCTGTTACAACTTTTTGGATATTTGTCATTACTGAACACTTCAAATCACTTAATACATCTTTTCTAGTTCATGAATGGGGGGAACTTTCTCCTTGATTTCTATTTAAATGGCAGTGTGATCAAAGATTGAAGACTCTTGGCTGTCAAGTTTTAGTATCTCCTTATTTTGGTTTGTTATTTTGCCGAAGTTATTGTAATTTCTGTTTTTTATACTAAAACTCATAGATTCGAGCATCTCTTAGTTGTTTTAACTTTTTAACTTGCAATATATCCTTACATTAGTTTCATCGGCTAAAACTGTCCTTGACAATGAAACGGGATTGATTGATTTTTTAAATTTTCACCCACTTCAACAAAAAATTTATGTGAAATCCTGTCTACAGAAAGCCCCCAAGATACTGACACAGAAGATTGAAGAACTGAACTCAGCTATTAATGATGTTTCTGGTCAGCTCCGATCAGAAGATTTTCCGAATGGTGTGGCTGTTAACTGAGATGAATTTGAAACTTTTGCCATATAGGAATGCTCTTCTTCTTCTTCTTCTTCTTCTTGCTCTCTCTCTCTCTCTCTCTCTCTCTCTCTCTCTCTCTCTCTGTCTGGTATCATCAAGTGCTCAAATTTTGGGCTGATTTATAATAGGGAGTGCTGTTTGTTATAACCATTGTTGCTACAATGGAATTCTAGTTTGACTTCCAGAAATTCACTCAAAAGAAAATGATATAATTGGTTTGGAAGTAGATGGAGAGTGTTTGTCGAGAGGCAGGCAGCAGAGGAGTAGTGACTGATTCCGGATCAATTGGTTGCAGTTTGCATAGATTGAGACAGGTTGTGAGTTATCTCTGCTTGGCTGTGAGAATTGGGCTTCAAAGTTGCAATACCAGTAGTTCAGAAGAGTTAGGTGCTTGATGTTTTCAGCCCTCCAGGTAAGGAACTCTTGTTTGGCTTACCCAAGTACTTGCCGCTGCAGAAAATCAAGGGGAGAGATGTCATTATCTGCTGTTGTGTATAAAGGTTCATAAATATTCCAGCTTAATTGTTTCTAACCCATGCTATTCTTTCCATTTATGTAAATTATGTTTAGGGTAAATTACACTGAGGTTTGGGCAAATTACACATAATTTTTTTCTTTTTTTTTTTTTTTTTTTCCTAGTTGGGTACTCATACACACTGCCTCCACTGAGGTTCGAACCTCTGACCTCCCTTTGGAAAGTAGGGGTCTTGTATCACTAGGCCACAGCCCTGTTGGTAATTACACATAATTAGACCATTTAGCGTTTATTACTTTGACCTTCCTTGAGATTTGGCACATGTGTCAGCGATACTCCTAGTGTTTTCTTTTTGACATACCTGTTTTGTCCTTCATGAAAATCTTGCCATTCCCTTTTATGAAAATGAGGGCGTCACTAACTTTTTATACTCAAAGTCACCTTCCGGCCACTGGCGAACGGGTTTGGGAGAGGTCAAAGTAATAAACACTGAATGGTCTACTTGTATGTAATTTGCCTAAATATCAGCAAAGATTAGTGTAATTTACCCTTATATTTATGTTGTTAGGAAAAAAATTCTATGTTTTCTTTTCCTTTGCAGTTGCAGCGAGGTAAAGTTCACTTGTATATTTGGCCAAGCAAACGGAAAAGAAAAGGAAATGTAGAAATTACAAGTTCTTCAAAAATAGTTGGGAATCATGATTAAAAAACATAATAATAAACAAATGAAAAGGTCTCTTTCTTGCTTTCCTCATCGCTTCTTGTGTCCCTGTTTTTCCATTTAAATCAAACAAGGGAAAATGTGTTACTTTGAATTGTTTATTTATTTCCTTTGTTTGATTGCACCAATTCTGCTCTAAGAGATATAGGGAACCACCACAGAAGTGGATTTTTATTTATTTATTTATTTATTTATTAGTAAGAAATATCACCGCTCATGCATCCACTTTGCCCCTTTGTTTTATTGAAGTGTTTGTAAACTGCCTATTGCACCATGTCATAGTTTCAACGATTGTAATGAATAATTTCTCGTCACAAGCCCTTGGTTATATAAGTGAATAACACTTTGAAAATGGTACCTTCGGAATTCAGTTTCTTTATGAGTCTACTCAATTTAGTAATGACAAAATATATACGGTTTTGTTACCTTTGAGAGCACCAAATGGGCAAACTAAATATCCTCCAATTCTAATTCTTAGGTGTTCATTTGGTGCTCGCAATCATAACAACTGAAAAATAAAATCTATTCTTCATGATAGCAGAACAAATCCTCGTAGTGGTTAATTCCACCGGTACTCTAGATTTTCACCTGCTAACAAACTTTCAATAATAATAATTAGTGGCCCTCCTACTATATTTCCTTTCAACAGATATATATATATATATAGTCTAAATTGAGATTGAAACAATGGAGATATTTTTTCTCAAAATTTGTCCACCATGCATCAAGATATGATTTCAGCCAGAAGAATGCCAAGGTGCCTTTTGATGGAAGTTATGGGACATATGTGTATGTTCCAAATAATTGTGGTAATTAAGTTCCAAGTAATTTGAAAAATACCCAAGGGCATACAAGGAACAATGAATGGGCAGACAATCTGTGGCTTAGGCAGAAGAAAACACCATCTTATCTCATATCCGCCCATTCTCACCACCCGTTCCTCTTCCTCTGTTGCAACCACAATTTATTTGAAATTTTGACAATGGAAACATTACATATACTATATATATATATATATATATATATATATATATATAATAACTGAATAAACGAATATAACAGTATATATATATTATATTCAAGAAGTTGTATATATATATGTTGAGGAAGTTGTACTCCTAGTATTAGTTGCAGCCATGGCCACCCATGCAGCTTTGGCTTCTACAAGACTCCCAACCACCACAAGGCTTCCTTCCAAGACCTCCCACTCTCAATGTTTCTCCAAGGTCTTTCTCTCTCACTACTTTTTGTTCCCCTCCTAATCTCTGTGGCTCTCAATTAATTGTCTTCTTTGGCCAAAAAATAAAAAATAATTATCTTGTGGGTGTGTAGAGGCTGGAGGTAGCAGAATTCTCGGGGCTTCGATCCGGTGCATGCGTGACCTTAGCCAAGAATGCTAGGGAGGCATCCTTCTCTGAAGTAGTGGCATCCCAACTTACCCCCAAGGTTATCTTCTACTTCTTTCTTATCAATGGTTATTGATTAGTTGTATATTTGTTTTTCTTCACTAAACCATTGAAATTGTAAGAGGGTTTGTTCATATAACTAACTTAGCATATATAGCTGCATAAGCATAGTTTCAATAAGAAGCATAAATTGAGTATCCTTAATATAAGGCTTTAAGCAGTTCTTCGCCCAATTAGGACACTTGAGAAACATAAATTTTAGAATCATATATTATCATGATTTTCTGAATCATTGCAAAGTAACAAAAGTCTGATTAGATTAACTGGGAAAAACACACACACACGCACACACGAATGAATTTTTAGTCTGCTGATGTGGGTAAGCGTTACCGCCAACCAAATTGGAAACTAAGGGGAACTGGAGTTCTGATATTGTTTGGGAGCAGGAAGAAAAAAATCAGCAGAAAGTTTCTATTCAGATGTATTTTGTGTAGTGTGATGAATTTGATATAGATAAATTGCAGTGGAGAATTTTTAAGCAGTTTGAGATTTTATTTTATTTTTAAATAAATTTTTTTAAAAAAACACAAAAAATCCTAGTAGAAGTTGTAGAATTTAATATGGACCATGTATTCTGATTAGAGGTAAGAGTTTAAGCTTCAAGAGTTCAAGTATAAGATTATATCACATGGTGCAATGTGTAAAAACATAAATACTTATTTGATTCAGTACCTAGTTTTCCTTGCAGAAACCTGGCAGTAATAAGTTGATTTAAATTTTTCCTTTTTTTTCTTTTCTTAATAGATTGCAGGATCAACCCCTGTTAAGGGAGAAACGGTTGCGAAATTGAAGGTGGCAATTAACGGTTTTGGTCGCATCGGCAGGAACTTCCTACGGTGCTGGCATGGCCGCAAGGACTCACCGCTTGAAGTTATTGTTGTTAACGACAGTGGTGGTGTCAAGAATGTGAGTGAATTTACCACATTTATGATTATTATGATTTGTGGAACATAAACCAGTAGTTGAATTGATTTGTTATTATTATTATTTTTCTACTAATAACTTTTGTTGCAAATATAGGCATCTCACTTGCTGAAATACGACTCGATGCTTGGTATTTTCAAGGCAGATGTGAAAATAGTGGACAATGAAACCATTAGCGTTGATGGTAAGCCCATCAAAGTTGTCTCTAACAGGGACCCTCTGAAGCTCCCTTGGGCTGAACTTGGCATTGACATTGTTATTGAGGTATACTACTTCCTAGTTGGTTCTCGCGTTCAAAGTTCCATTGGTACTCTCTCTAGTTCATTCCTATACATAAGTTTTAACAATATGTATAGATTGATTTGAGAGGGTTATATATATATATATATACACACACAAGGTGCAAGGAGTAATTTGCAACAGATTATATCTTTCCCTCTATTCTAACACCCTCTTGGGATTTCAAGTCCAAGATTACTAGTCAAATCTCTTACGAAACTCAAACCTTGATTTCAAAACCGTTCATTTATTTAACTGTACCATAAATTTCTTTCTTTCTTTCTTTCACATACTATCAAGTTGAATTTCATGTCTTCTTGAAATCCATCCTGACCCAAGAGGAGAGCTGATTTTTCATTTGACTTACCCTCTTCCAAAAATGTCCTTTTGAGCTCATTGAGTCGTGTGAATTACAGGGAACAGGCGTGTTTGTGGATGGCCCAGGTGCTGGGAAGCACATCCAAGCTGGAGCCAAGAAAGTTATCATCACTGCTCCAGCAAAAGGGGCTGACATTCCAACCTATGTTGTCGGGGTAAATGAAGGAGACTATGACCATGAGGTTGCTAACATTGTAAGGTCAGTATCTCGTATATTTTTCTGCTAACAAAACATTAATATATATATCATCATTGAGGTTCTTGTAGCACTGAAATTTCTTTGGTATGTTCTAGCTAATTAATTAGAAGAGTAACATCATCTATTGCAATGTTGGCTTTTGTAGCAATGCTTCTTGCACCACAAATTGTTTGGCTCCTTTCGTGAAGGTCTTGGATGAAGAACTCGGTAAGCATCCATTTTGTTGGAACTTATTAACAATAGGGCCCTTCTTCAAATTTCACATTCCACACGGGCCTACAGGACCAATAGTTTAGATTGCATCGAATCCTGCTTTTAGCATCCGCTTCCTAGCTGTCCTACCCAGCTGAACCTAGGACTAGTCAAAAAACCATTGTGGAAGGTGGCGAAGGCATTTTAAGAACTAAATCAAGACATTTATCAGCAACCTGATCCACAATTGTTAATTTGGCCGGCGTTATAATTTTTCTATGTTTTGGAACACTGTCCCAGTTACATATCTCTGATTCAACTTGCAGGCATTGTCAAGGGAACTATGACCACCACTCATTCCTATACCGGTGACCAGGTAATCACACACATTATTATTCATAAATTTTTATTTTCTAGAAGTAACACTGATGGTGTACTCTTGCTTGTTAAAAATGAATGCCCTTCATATTTGAACAACAAAACTGTCAGGTTGATCAAGAGCATCCAGCAACGCATTGTACTGAATTTAATGGAATTTATTTTTTCTTTTTTTGGAGAAATATGGCTGCATCAGCTGAAATAGAAAATATATTATTGCTCATGTTCTGTGCAGAGGTTGTTAGATGCTTCACACCGGGACTTGAGGCGAGCTAGAGCTGCAGCACTGAACATCGTCCCAACAAGCACGGGTGCAGCAAAGGCTGTGTCTCTAGTGCTACCTCAACTAAAGGGAAAGCTCAATGGTATCGCACTCCGTGTGCCCACACCAAACGTATCTGTTGTTGACCTTGTTGTAAATGTTGCGAAGAAAGGAATTTCAGCCGAAGATGTCAATGCAGCCTTTAGAAAGGCAGCAGAAGGTCCACTGAAAGGCATATTGGCAGTATGTGATGTCCCTCTTGTGTCAGTAGACTTCCGGTGCTCTGATGTCTCATCCACCATTGATTCATCTTTGACAATGGTCATGGGAGATGATATGGTAAAGGTGGTGGCCTGGTATGACAACGAATGGGGATACAGGTATGTGTTCTACTGCTAAATGAATCTGATGGTATAAATAATTTAGGTGTCTAAAACACTGAACTAGCTGGTTTCTTCCCCGGCAATTCATTGGCTTTGGAATTGCTGTAGTTCAGGATTTGGAATAGGAAAATACGCATAACTTGTATAAACTCTGCTTATGTGCATTTCAAACCATTGAGGGCTAAACATGTTAGTAAGGACCTGTTTGGCAACCGTTATTGTTTTGTGTTTTTTGTTGCCAAAATGGTGAAAAATATAAACAAGTGGCAAAAACATGTTTGATAACATTTGTTACGTTTTGCATAGTAGTGCATTTACTTCAGAAAATGACCTAATTCTGGAAGCTAGAAAAGGATGCTTTCACTTGTTTAACTATATCAAGATATATTTAACAACAGTAACAAGATATATTTTTTTTTCTTTCTATTTTTAAAAAGGCCAGTATAATGTAGATACCATTTTTTTTTTTTTACTAGTGGATAGTAGATACCATATTTTTATAATTATTCAGTATATTTTTTTCTTTTTAACTTTGAAACATCGCGCAACAAATTTAGTTACCAAACATGTTTGCGTTTAAAGAAAAATTTCCAATACAAACAAAAACATTACTTTTACAATTCATGTGAAACTCAAAATGCAAAAACAAAAACGGTTGCATAACGAGCCCTAAAAGAAAAGTGAAGTTAAAACATAGAGTAATTCCTTTTTCAGATTTAACTATATCTCACTTGTTTTGTGTTTATATATCTTTTTATAGCCAACGGGTTGTCGATTTGGCACATCTGGTGGCAAGCAAATGGCCGGGCATGCCTGCAGTAGGAAGCGGTGACCCACTGGAAGATTTCTGCAAAACAAACCCTGCTGATGAGGAGTGCAAAGTTTATGAAGCGTAGATGGTTTGCTTTATTTTTCTTCCTTTTTGGCTTGTCGAAAACTATTTAATTTCCTCAGGGGCCAAGGATTTTCATTATTCTTTGTCACTAAAATGCCCATTTTGCAATGATAATTGAGAATACTACTAGTAGAATTCTAATAAATTAAAATGGTGCTTCAGCTCAGATAGGCTTTTGTGTCCATTGTACTTGAATCTCAATTGCAAAAAGGAGGTAAGAAATGTCATGCAAAACCAATTAGTTGAACTTGAATAGCATCTGCTTCAGCTCAGATATGCTTGTCCATTGTACTCAATCTTCTTTCTTTCTTTTTAATTTATTTTAATATTATTACTTTTTTATAACTTTTAAATTTTAGTCAATTATCCTACTAATATTAATTTTTTTAGAATAATTCAGGAAAAATCTGTTTTTTAGGATACCAAACATGCATGTTTTATGTTCCTGCTCTTGGTGTGCTGTGAAGGCCTTGTTGCTCACAGTGACAAGTGCTTTCACCAAGCCATTGCCTTGTCCGAACTTGGTGAAATGCCTTAGATCAGGCTGTTAATTGCCACACTATGAGGATGAACTCACCACACAATGCCAAGCAACGAAACCGATCCGATATGGCCCGAAAGAACAGCCAAGGATCGATATGAGCAGAAACCCAAAAAGGGTTATGCTTGAAATTTGAAGTGGTGGTTCGAATCGATGCCATGTCTATCATCAGCTTCACTGCTGTTGCCCCTAGTACTGTCGGCAAGGCCGGTTCAGTGAAGGCAAAACGGAAGCTATTTAAAAATATTTCAGGATTTTAACCACATTTTTTTTTTATCAAATCATACCCGATTAATTTATCGTCAAATATGAGAAACACTCTTTTTCCTTTGGCACTGTGAAGGCACTCACTAATGAAACTTCACTTCTATGACCCCAGCGTACACAGATGTGTGAAATCTCTATCGATAAGGATCAAAAATGATTATTATCTTAGCTCCAATTAGATAAGGATCGAGTTTAGGAAAACTAGTCCTAAATAACAAAGACTGATTTTTCAAATTGGTTGGATTAAGCAAAAAAATTACATATGCATTTGGAATTGTTCAGGTCCAAAACTATTATTGCAAAATATCAGACATCCATATATATATATATATATATATTGAAAACTTTACTGTACACGTAACTTTAACCACATCTCCCTGCTCTATACTCGTACAAACCTACAAATGTGAAGAAAATTATGTGCACATGTGATGCTTTAAATTCGAAGATTCAATGCATTAACCAAAAAGATCCAACCCGACCCGTAACCCGAGTCAAGAATGCAGAAGCTAAGAACCACATTAGCCCGTGAATGAAACACCAAAGGTCAAAATATGCCACGCTAAACATATTGGAACATTCCATGAGGTTTTAGGCTATATGGGAATGATTTTGACACAAATCGGCATTTTCAGCATATAGAAAACATGACCAATCCTTACTAAAATAAGCATAACTCTTTTTATATTTGGAATTTTGGAGTGGGACTGGTATCATTGGAAAGCTCGTTTCAAAGCAGTCAGTTTAGACATAAGAATGACCCAATTTGGAATTAAAACGAATGACATATGACTGTCTAAAGTTAGCTCAACGATGCTGTAAATATGGGGTGCAACCGGTCGCAGTTTTGGGCTACCGGTTGCCCAAAACTGAACTTGCTGCCCAAAAAACATAATAATAAAGCACCAAGATGACCTCAGAAGATCCCGAAATGGTCGGTTTGGTTACAGGAAGGCAAGCTAAGGAACTCATCATAAGGATTCAACCATGCACCAAAACTTTCTCCAAACCTCATATAAATACAAATCATGGCATTGACAAATGTAATCCAAATAAATAAGTGCAACATACACTGAAGTGTGCATTAAAGATGAAACTCACACATTGGAAATAAAATGGTCTTATGGCCTCAAATACATCATCTTTAATTCACTTACTCTTGCATATTCTAAAATTAGTACATGAGATTACAACCACAAAAGAAAGAAGTGTGTTGGTCCCACTTTTGAATTAAGGTTTTCCCTTTTAAATGTCAAAAAGTCTGCCACAGGTTCACTACATTAAGTTCTAAGTGATTCTGGCATGCACAGTGCATATTATTGATCTTTAGGGGCGGCTTGGTCATTCGACATTGTTAAGAAGACTATTCAAATGGTCTTAGGAATGTACATTCTATTGAAGACTCACTCTGCAGGGCATTTAGGATTACAAGCCTTAGCACAGAAGTTGATATTTGGCTACAGAGCATTTTAGGGGAAATTAAGTCTTTTAATAGATGTATTATACTCCCTCTGTCCCAAAATAAATGTCCCTTTTGGGAAACTGTGACTCACATTCTCAAGTTAATCAAGTGTTCACAATCACAGCTGCAGAAGACAATGTATATTGACAAATGTCACTATAAGGGCATTTTGGTCAAAGCATATTACTAAGCATTCTTGTGACACGTGTCCTGTGGTCTTAGTGTGGGAATATACAGGCTGTTATTCATTGCTTAGTGATTAAGCTTGTTATTTATTCATATACATATACAAATACAACCTGTCACAATCACATATGCATATCCATAAATAGCCCTAAGAAAAATTACATATTGTTCGTAAGGCATACTGACTTCTTATATTCCTTAAGTAACCAATTTAAACCTTATGATCACTTAATTAAATTCTTTTATCAAAGAATTTTTAAAATAAATATTTTTCTAACTAAATAAATAGAAAATTAATTTTATTAAACATTTTACTAGAATGCCCTTAACATGTTCGAGTGATCAAACTTATTAAATTGCATCAAGGTGATATTCTAACTCTTATAAAGAATGTGAATTCCATGTTGAGCATTTGTATTTCCACAGCTCCAACATTAGCCACCTAAGTGTAACGACCCAAAATGATACCGGTCGACGGTACCAAAAAAAAATATTCGGCATGACCTCTGCAAAAAAGGGTCCTACTACAACCTGCTGAAATACATGTAAAATGTAATGGCCTCACTTGGCCTCAAAACTAATTTATCATGTCCCAACACACAATACAAATAATAAACAACATTCCCAAAATCAACAACATACATATAAAAAGTCGCGTTCCTCTAATTCTTTCAAAACATGGAAATATCGGTCCACTACCTAGTCCCATAATCCTTTACAAGGAACGCACTTTAGTTACATTTAGTTACAGTCCATGAAATATAGTTGAATTTAAAAGTCCTTAGTTTACAACATTATACAAATTATGCTAAAGTTTTACAAAATAGTCAAGATTACATTTACAAAATATTAAAGTTCTAATACAAAAAATAGCAAAATATAGATCTCCAATCTCGTCTAAACTTGTGGTGGATCATCGTCCACCACCTCTTTCCCGTGTCCCAAAAATATTAAAGTAATGGGGTGAGTCAACCGCTCAGTAGGAAGTATCTAAGACACACCTCTTATGACCCCGTGAATCCTTGCAAAGAATAGAGTACAAGTAAACGTGATCCTGCCTCGGGAAAGTAAGCAAAGCAACAATACAACAACAAGAATGTATATAAGTCATCCGACCACCAAATATAAAATATATGCCGATGAAGTGCAATGTCATGCAATGTCGCTCCCTGTTTTCGAAACAACATTGTTTCACCTTTCCAAACCGTTAGTGCAATCCGATCCACGGCAACTCCATGGTTTCACGAGTGGAGGGTTAACTAACTATCCCCGACCACATGGCAACTCCAAGGCGTCGTTAAAGGGCCTAGGTAGCTCAACCACACTAAAGTCTCTTCCTAGTCCCCTCTAGATCACACTAATGCCACAGACCACTAGGTGACTCCTAGGCATTCGGGTTTTCGCAAACACTTTTAAAAAATGTTTTCCCCAAAACAAATTCTTTTGTTTTTCAAAACACTTTTCTATTTTTCATCCCAATGAATGCATGAATGTTTCATGCTTCTAAATACCAATTCAATAATAAAATTCCACACATTCCATCTACATCATCATCACATTTCGATAGAGAGTTCTAAACATTTATTTTCACAACTACAATATCAATTTTCATAGCAATTGAAAATCATAGGCATATAGTATGTCAACACTAAGCATGCATACTCCACCACAAAGATTATAATCATATTCACGGGCTCAATTTACATATAAATTACATTTATCAACTTAAACACAAGCAACCATAACAAACATAATCAAAATAACTAAAATTAAACATGCTTGGAGTCAAATTAAAGGGAAAAATTCACAAGAAATCTAAAAGGAGTAGGTCCCATGCCTTATAAATATCTTTATATATATGTTGGTGACTAAAGATATTTATAAGGCATGGGACCTACTCCTTTTATATATATATGGTGGTGACCAACATATATATATATAACAAATACAACACCACCACACATTTAATCATACAATTAGTTAATTATGCACTAAATTAACAATGCATGAAATGCAATGGACCAGAAACACAACCCTCGTACACAACGACCCTAGTAGCGGGTCCCACCTACGACCTCCCGGCCCAAAAATAGAAAAATTTAAAAATGACAATCAATGCATTTCCAAGAGTCTTGGACTCAAGAAAATGTTCCAATTAACACTCTGACACACCTAGCACAGTCCGGCACGCAAAATAAGAAAAGACGAAAATACCCTCGAAAAAATTAGAAATTCCAGAAAATAGAAAAAATCAGAAACATTACACCAAGATACTGTGGTATTAACCTTAAAGATCTCACACATTGGCAAGTCAAAGTGACCAACATTGAAACTTGAGTCCACTAGAGCTCTTAGGATTTAAAGCCTAATGAATTCAGGTGATAAGAAACACACCAAAATAATGACAGTTTAGCCTACTCCAAGCACATTAACACACTGACTTAACGTCAACAACCCTAATGGTCGAGACAAACCATCATATCTAATAGAGATCAAGTTTGTTACAATCTTAAAGATAAAAGTGCCTAACTTTTATTACCAACTGCGAACAATGTTAAGGTGCAAAAAACTAGTGAGCACAAATCTCCTTTGTAAATCTTATTGACACACTTAAGTCACCTATAATGCAACAGGATTATGATCCATTTCAGGTAATATTGTGTCTCTGATTTTTTCCTATTTTCTATTTTCGGGGATTTTTTTATTTTTT